GTTAGATGAGGAACAGTTTCACAATCCGTTTCATCGCACGATCCAGAATAACCAAGAGGGGTATTATTCATAAATTCCCAAGTAGCCTCCAACTTATAAATGTGGTCGACAACACACCGATAAGAAGGACTCTACTAGACACGGCTCCGAGACATCCTAGGACACTTTAAAACCTTAGGCTTTGATACCAAGTTTGTCATGCCCCAAACTCAAAAGGCGCGATCGGTGCCCAACCGAGTGAACACGGTCGAGCAAGCCTGTTAGACGCTTTCTACCCAACGCACCCATGATCAAGAGAAGACATAATTTTGTTAATTAGATAGTAGGGAGATCATGTATACAATACTAAATCATTTCATTAGTTACTTCACTTTTAAGTTTCAAAATACACACCTTTTTATAGGCTACAGTGGAACAAGTAATTCATTCAAACATAAACATGAATTGTTTGACTTCCCCCAACACCGACATACAACCCACACAATGTCTACAGAGCCTCTAAAAGATACAAATGAGTACAATGATAGTGCCGGCAACAAGGCTTCGGCTATACCTCCAAATATGATAACAAAATGTACAAAAGATACATGACCCCGAAATGAGGTAGGGCTCACCAAGTGTGCTAGGAGGAAGGTGTACTGCTATCACTGATCAACACTGCCTGCTATGGAACCACCTGCATCCATTTAAAGATGCAGCGCCCCCGTCAAAAGGGACATTAGTACTGTCGAATAGTACTAGTATGTAAAACTAAACACCATCTCAATAGAATGAATAATAATACAAGGGGGAACAGTCAAGAATTCAATAAGAGCTTCAAATCATACTAAAACATTAAGTTAAGGATCACATAAGTTTTCAAGTTAATTTTCATGTTATTAGGTTGGGTGATCTTTAGTGCAGATATACCATAATTCACAATACCACTGTATTCTTACACGGAGTCCGATCACAACACGATCGGCTAGGTTGTCTCATTTGAGACATCAACCATAACCACAATTTCATTATAATTTCCAGCACAATCACCACCATGTGTGCGGCATGGCATCTGATCACGGCTCGATTGGCTAGGTCGTCTCCCCTGAGACATTACCTTTTTTTGGTCAATCATCTCACATCATACTTCTTCCACATCCTTTCAATTCCTTGGCACTAGTGGCCATAATTATAAAGTCATTCTTGGCACTTGGCCGTATTTCATATTTTCAGTTCCTCTTTCCACATTCAAACATCATTATCATTATCAACAATAATAAGGCTTCCCATTCAAGACATTAATTTCATATATGAGCAATTTGGGAATCTTAGGCACATAGAGGCTTTTCATACAATTTGGCATAACAACATTTATTTGATCTTGACATGAAGTCTTAACATTTCTAACGCATATTCCACATTTTGAACACATACTCAAATGACAAGATGGCATGGTGAAACATTTAGAATAAATATTGAATATACACCCTTCAACACAAACACATTAGGAATAGCCAATTCTATAATGATCAATTTGGGACTTACACAAATTACATGACCACCGTGGGATTCGATCACAAGAAGAAGGGGGTTTAGCCAACATACCTCAATTGAGCTTCCTTTAAACTTTAAAACGTTCTGAAATTCTTAGCACTTCGATCTATTTTAGAAATATAACAAGTTGGACCAAAATTAGGAAGATGGTCATGATACTAGCTCATTTGAGCACATTATCAAACACGAGGTGTGCATTAATATTTTTAAGACCCTTTTAGGAAAGATTCTATCATTCCTCAACCCATTCTCTATCATTTTTATTATCTCACAACCTTCCCACATATTTCAAGAATACATGCATGCAAGATAACAATCCCCACACCCAATAATTATCTTTCTAATTATCCCATTTTTAGAAGATTTTCGAGATTAAGAGTTAGGGCATAGATTATTACCCCTAAGATGAGGACTTTCTTGATAATCTTCAAGGATTGAGAAAACATTATTGGATATTAGGTTGAGGGTTACTTCCCTACTCTAAGAACTCTTTATCACTCTAAAAATATCATAAATATGCTCAAAAATGGACTATGGCATATATTTTAACGAAATAGGGTCGGGTTTAAAACCCCCAAAAATGAATCTCTAGAACAGGGTATGCGGCCGCATATGTGACCGCATAATGGATATGCGGTTCGCATATCGGCCTCATAATTTGGTGCCAAAAATTGGAAAAAATCTGCCTAGGTCTGCCGTAGTTATGCGACCCGCAGAACCTCCCTCCGAAAAAATTCTAAGGCTGATTATGCGATCAAAGTGCAGCCCGCGAAATGGTTGTGCAGTCGCATAACTGGCCGCGAAATTGACATAAAAATGGCCCAAGTAGCTGCTTCACTCTGCGGCCATTCAGCAGCTCGCAGAGTGATTATGCGGCCGCATAATGGGCTGCAGAAATGCCTACTTCTGCAAAATAGTTTTCTTTAACTCCTTCTATTATTATTAACCTCTACGCCTACCCCAGCATTATGGAACCCCCGTTTATTTTAGGAAAATATTTCACGGGGCCTTACATATGGACGGACAGAAGGGAAAAATGGTATAAAGTAACCAATAAAATAAAAAAAGACAAAGTAACTATATTTACAAAAATGGCCCTTCAGCACTTCCAAGGAAGATTTTAAGGCTGTCTCGGCAACAACTGCCGGATACAAAGGCCACACAATAAAAAGCAGACAAAACTAGTTGAAATTGTCAGTTTTCCAAAAATTGCCGTTCCGCACTTCCGTGGAAAGTTTAAGGCTGTCTCGGCAAAAATGGCCAAACATAAGGGCAAAATGGTAAATATTATGCACATTTGTAATTTTTATGCTTTTTTTTTTTGAAAAATGTGGGCCGAACCCGATGGATGTTGCCTACGTACCTCACCGAGTAGTGAGAATCAGACCCGCATAGTTCGATGAAAACCGACTATGTTCTCTTTTTGATTTTTATAAAAAATAATCCTTAAAACCATAGCACTAGACCACATCGTCCCCCTTTTTTTTGGTTAATAAAGGACATTTGTACAAAAATCGGGAGAATTTTTCTCTTGTTAATTCAACTGATTTATCCTAAAGCAGGTCAACATGCAAGCCTCCTAAATAATGTAACAGGCAGCACATAACATGAACATAATGGTCTCCACAAGGTACCTTTCCTAAAACAGAACCCGACCCCTGTGCCGAGCGCTGCTAAGTCAAATACACATGATGCAAATAAAGCGAACCTACTAAGGATATAAGACATGAGGTTTGTTCTTCTAGGTTTAAATCATAATGGAGAATGTATCTAAACTGGCTTACTAGAGCAGACAACTCGAGACGAGGAGGATCATCGTACCAGTAGCATTGCTTTCTGGCTTAGCTGGTAGTGGTCCTCGACTAAAACATGTGTGACTAAAATCCTTCACTGGGTGGCAAGCACCTCGTCTACTCAAAGAAAGCAGGCTATGTCAAGCAAATGCCCAATTTTAATTTCAAGAAGACTCATAGGGGGTGCGTGAGAAGACAGTTTATATGTACAATTCAACAATATCAAAGTGGTAAAAAGCGGATAAGTAGCACATTAGGACCAAATAAATCACAGTATATACAAATTTAATAAAGCCAAATAAAGTCAATATACAAGCTCGAAATCTGGTTGTCCCCAGCAGGGTCTTCAGAGCCGTCACACCCCTTCTTACCCCAAAAGATATATATGTTGGATTGTTGTGGGTTAAAGAGTTTATTTTCCAATTAAAGTGACAAACTTGAATAGGGATTATTTTATTTACAGACTCGTCACTTGGAATTGATTTTTTGGTATTCCAAGTCACCTTTTATTTGAATCCCTAGTCAACGGAAGGTTTGACTCTATTATTAACGGTCCGCAAAAATAAAGTTCGGGTAAGAAATTATATTGACCGGGGAGAAAGTGTAAGACATTCCCTGAGTCCCGTGGTTCTAGAACGATCTCTTTATTGACTAAAAATGGCTTGAAATAATTTTGGACAGACTGTGTTTTATTGGATTTACATATTACCTATTTGCTTTTAATTATTATAAATATTAAAGAAATATTTGAATAATATTAAATTGTCCTAACCGCACCAAGCAAGCGAATGTGCGACCGAGATGAATTTTATTAATTTTGTCATAACCGTGCTACGCAAGCGAATACGCAGTCATGACAAGGATTATTAGTATGTTATTACTTTTGGACAAATTACACTACTGGAAAATGGCAGAATTTCGACCGCCAAAATGGTCAGAAATCGGTCGGAAATCACAAATTTTCGACTACTTTCCGACCAAAATTGGTCGGTCGGAAAAAAGTTGGTCGGAGAACTATTTCCGACGACCAAATATTTTCAAATTTCTGACCAAAGTGGTCGGAATTTACCGACCAAATCCTTCGTAATAATATTAATAAAAATAATTATTTATTTAAAATTAAATAATATAAATATATAATTTCCGACCGAATCGGTCGGAAACTACTAATTAAAAAATAAATTTTATTTAATTTTCGACGGAATTAGTCGAAAACCTTTAAATATTAATTATTTTTTAAAATATTTCCGACCGAATCGGTCGGAAATCTGGGAATATTTGGCAAAATCTAGGCAGCTATCTGACCGTTTCCGTCGAAAATCAGTCGGAATTTTCTATAAAACTCGGCTGAATTCTGCCCAATTTTGAGCTACACCACCTGTCAAACATTACAATATAACACACCGACAACCAAACAACCATTAACCAACAATTAACACATCTAAAATAAAATACCAACCATTAAACCTAACAATTTTGGGCATAAAAACATCCAAATAGTAGCCCACATTCAAGTTTTAAAACAAAACATAAAGTTGTCTCTCACAATCAAGTTTACCAATCAACCAAAACACCAGACCTAAACTACTACACATCAGATTTAGTTTGTTCATCATCATCATCAGATAAATCATGCCCATGTTTTCTCATAAATTTCTGCATCTTAACAAATGTTCAAAATTGGGAGTCCAATTGTTGCTTCAAATCACGAATTTCCTTTCTCATATCTTCCATTTGTTCTTGATTTTGAGAAGAAGAAGAATTGGCTAAGAGTGAGTTTGGATGACCTGTAGGTCGACGTACTCCAAATCTGTAGACTCTGCCTTTGTTTACTCCACCTGCTACCTCTGTCCACAATGAAGTCATATCATTAGGTGTTGGTTGAGTTGAAGGAGGATGAGTTTGTTGCCATTCTTCCACCAATTTATGTTAATCTTCCTGAAATAAAAACATAACTATTATGTAAATAAACTAATATTAATAAACCATAAATAATTATGAAGTTAGTATTTTACATATGTGTCCGACGCACGCGTCTCCACCCAGTGTTCTCTTGTACCATCCTTCTTCTTATGCATCTCCTTGAAGACCTCAGCGTGACTCATATCTCGCCCTCTTTCCTTTTCCTTCATAACAAAAAGTATGAGTTATACATTACAAACGTAAAATTCTATATGTAAAACTAAGAAAATTTTTATAAGTAATTACCAATCTTAGTTTATGGGCTACAAAACTAATCGAACCTCCTGTGTGCAACGAGCCACCTTTACTGGAGGCACGGTTTGCCTTTAATTGCTCACTATCCGCCTTCCATTCTGTGGTATTCCATTTTTCAAGATGTTTATCCCAAACATCTTTTCTTAACCAGTCTGGCATTTTACTGGCATTCCGAGCAGCGAACATAGTATCTTTAATCCGCTGAGCAACCTTCTTAACGAAAATACTATTTATTGCATTTTGATACGGAGGATGCCATGTACACTTTGTCTGCAATATAAAAAAGTAACATTAGATGAAGATGATAATTATTAAATAAATGTAATTAATTTTTACCTTAAATTGATTCCACATTTGATCTCTGATGTTGCACGGTATCTGTCTCCAAGAATTCCGCGGATCATGACAAAATGGCTTCATAGAATCCACAACCAAATGTGTAGACTGAAAGGATGGCAAAATCCTGCATTAAAGTTAACATATATATAATTAATAAACATCTTAAAGTTTTAAAAGTTTTAATTATAAATAAATATTCCTTAATGTTAACATATCTAAAAGTACATTCAAAACTTAAAAAATAGTATAAGAACCTTATTACCTGTAACGACCCGGCCGGTCGTTTTGAGAGTTAGAGCCCCAAACCCCTATTAACTGCTTTTCTCATATCTATTTATGCTATTGTGACTTGCCGGGATAATTAGTTTTGAGTTTCGGAGTGTTTTGGGACACTTAGTCCCTAAATAAGAGCTTAAGTTTAAGAATTTGGACCGTAATCGGAACTGTATGAAGACGGATCCAGAATGGAATTCCGTCAACTCTGTTAGATCCGTTGAGTGATTTTGAGCTTAGGAGCACGTCCGGAATATGTTTTGGAGGTCTGTAGTAGATTTAGGCTTGAATTGGCAAAAGTTAGACTTTTCGGCGATTTTGGCCGATAGTAGAAATTTGGATATCGAGCTCGGAATGGATTTTCGAAAGTGGTTGTAAGTTCGTAGTGTCATTTGTGACCTATGTGTAAAATTTGAGATAATTCGGACTAGATTTGACGTGGTTCGGCGTCGTTTGTGGAATTTGGAAAATTCAAAGCTCTTAGGCTTGAATCTGTGCTTAATTCATGATTATTGGTGTTGTTCGATGTGGTTTGAAGGCTCGACTAAGTTCCTATGGTGTTATAGGATTGGTTGGTAGGTTAGGTTGAGGTCTCGGGGGCATCAGGTGTGTTTAGGATGCTTAACGGAATGAAATTGGACTTGGAAAAATATGGGTTTTTTGCTGGTTCTACTATAATCGCACCTGCGCAAGGCTGCCCGCAGGTGCGAGCAAATTGGTGCAGAAGCGGGAAAATGGAGGAGTGCCAGGGGTCGCAGGTGCGAGGTGTTTTCCACATTTGCGATGCCCGCAGATGCGTTAGGAGTCTTCGCAGGTGCGCAAGGTCCGCAGAAGCGGAAGGGAATTTCGTAGGCGTGCACGCGCAGATGCGGCCCTTTCATCGCAGGTGCGAAGGCAGAGGGGGCAAGTGAATTGCACAGATGCGCACAATTTTCGCACAAGCGCACCCGCAGGTGTAAGCCAAGGTTCCGCAGGTGCGAAAATACCTGGGCAGTGGTTAAAACCGAAGGGCTTCGTGATTTTTGTCATTTTTAACTTTGCAAACTCGGTTTAGGGAAGTGTTTGAGAGCATTTTCGAGACATTTCTTGAGGTAAGTCCCTTGTGCTTATTGTTTATCAATAATATTTCCTTGCCATGTATTTTCCCACCTAGTTAGTATATATTTAAGGTGGAAATTGGTAGTTAAAGGCTAGGGATTTGGAAGTTTGATTTGTGGATTTGGAGGACCATTTGGTATCGAAATTTAGTAATTTTGGTATGGTTAGACTCGTGGTGGAATGGGCGTTAATATTTTTTAATTTTTACCCTATTCTGAGACATGGACCCCACAGGTAATTTTTGAGTTAATTTCGGGATTTTTGTTAAAGTGTTGATTTCATTAATTAGATAAGTCTATTATTATTATATTTATGATATGTAATTGATTTTGGCTAGATTTGGGCCATTCATAGCCGGATATTCGTGGGAAAGGCATTGTGACAGATTGATTGAGCTTGGTTTGAGGTAAGTGCCTTGCCTAACTTTGTGTGGGGGAAATCCCCTTAAGATTTGGAACTATTGTGATATTTGAGCACCGTGTACGTGAGGTGGCGAGTACGTACACGGGCTAGTTATGGTAAAACCCGATTTTCTTACTAAGCAGCAACATATTTTTCCTGTTATTTTGAGTTATACCATTTTAATGAGTACTAGTCTATTTTCATTCTTAATTGAGTTATTCCAATATGTGTAACTATCATGTTTAGTCTAATACAACATGTCTACGTGTCTTAATTATTTATGTGAATTATGTGCAGCATGCTTAGTGAATTTCCTGCTTCTTCCCTGACTGGTACTTAGTCTAAATTGTAAGAACTTCGTGATGTAGTTGTATTTCTATCATTCGCGCTGCATATTTACTTCGGGACTATGGAACGGTATTCCGGGAGATCCCCCTGTACTACATATTTACTTTGGGACTACGAAACGGTATTCTAGGAGATCCCCCTGTCTTTCATATTTACTTTGGGACTACGGAACGGTATTCCGGGAGATTCCCCTACACATTTACGTTTGGAACTACGAGACGGTATCTCGGGAGATCCCCTGTTGTGTTTCTGTGTACTAAGCTATTACCTTCTATGATTTCATTGTTGTTAAATTTCAGCCTTTATTTTATTGCGGTATTACACTCTATATTGTTTTATTATATATTTACCAGTAAGGCCTTGACCTGACCTCATCACTACTTGATCGAGGTTAGGCTTGGCACTTACTGGGTACCGATTGTGGTGTACTCATGCTTCTCTCTGCACATATTTTTCATGTGCAGATCCAGGTGCACCTTATCATCCACACTATGAGTGAGCCGGGACAACTTTGGAGACTTCAAGGTATATCTGCCACGTCCGCAGACCTCAGAGTCCCCTTCTACTATTTCTCATGCTCATTATCTTCTGTATTTTTCCTTGTTAGATTCTGATGTATAGGGACACTAGATATTTCCTTCTGTAGTTTGTGATTCACGATGCTTTGGGTTTTGGCATTTGTTGTGTATTTTTGAATAATTGGTTAAATTTCTATTTTTATTTCAATATTCCGCAAAATGTTAGGATTACCTAGTTGTAGAGATTAGGTGTCATCACGACGTCAAAC